AGCAGGCAGCACAGAGGATGCAGCAGCACATGGCACAGTAGCAAGAGGTGCAGTGGAGAGTGGGGCAACAGATGGGGCAATGGATGATGCAGCCACATCAGGCAGCACAGACGGTGGTGCATCAGCAGGTGGCGTAGCAGTAGAAGGTCCAGGAGTAAAAAATCCAGCGGTAGAAGGTCCAGCAGAGGGTGGGGAAGCAGAGGGATGGGCTGAGGGATAGGCAGCGGTGGGTGGGGCAGCAAAAGGTGAGACAGCGGCGGGTCGTGGGGATGCAGGCGCCTTAGCAGCAGCAGCAGAGACCATCAAAGCAGGGTGCTTTTCCTTACACATGCGAAGGTGATTTATGAAGGGTACCCGGCGTATTATTATTCCACGGCAATAGATGCAATGAAAGTGCAGTTTTGGTCGTCATTGTAGCCGACATCTATGAATGGTATACCCTGTAATAGAAAATAGAGCTTAAACATTTTAAATAATCATTTACAATTATCATAGACAACATCTTTACAAATGATCAGCTACAACAGGTCACTGAGTGATTGTTGAGGAGCCATCCAAATGAAAATGATCTATACTGTGACTCACACAAATTGTGTCTCGCAAACTTACCGTCATGTGATACTGCTCGTCATGTGATACTGCTCGGTTAAAATGGCCGTCCACATGGTCCTTTACCTTGCAGTAGTATGGGGCTTTAAACCATGCGGGCTGGCAGAATGGACAGTGGTACATACTGCAACATGTGTTGCATTTTTGCAGCTCAGGGACAGATGTCCCTCGTTGTATTGTGACATGCATCTGGAAAATAAAGAGAATGAATTGTGAAATCTACCATGTCAATATAATTCTACAGAAAACTAAGGGCATAATAATAAAACTATAATTTTTTTTTTTTTTTATTGCTACTGTCAAAAGTATTAGGGATCCCATACGACGTTGGGTGTTTTTCCCAGTGCTTTTTAAAGTCACAAAGAAACGAGGAGGACATTAATATAGAGGTACTGGGAAAATAATGTTCCGTAAAATTCTGCATTAGCACAGATGCGTTTAAATCGAATATTTTAAACTGATCAACATGACACAATGCGCAGTCAATTTTTAATTGAATGCACATATTTTGCGCATTTAGCACTTCTTTGACGGAGCCCAAAGCCCTTTAAAAATGACCAGTATTTACCCAATCACAAACATACATATATTCATCCGAAATTAAATTATTAATGTCAACGTCGTTTTGACATTATCATCTAATTCATAAACAACTAGGCGTGCTAAAACATTTCATCCTCACTTACGCTATATATTCTATCGTCGAGAGAATGTGAGTGTAGCCGGGATTCAAGTTGGCATAGTTTTCATTGACGCTCGTCGACTGAATATTACCGTCGTAGTTGTTGTCGTGCATTAAAATAACACAACTCCGTTTTACTTTTAGTTGATTTTGCTGTTAAATTATCTCACAATTACAGGGCCTTTTAAACTTTTTAAGATCCACATGCGACTTACTTCGCAATCGGGCATCATCCTTCTGACGTCATATCCGGCGCAAGTTACTTGCCAAAACCTATCTTTGTGTGAATCGGCCTCCTCCGGGTCTGCAGCTGGACCCTTCTCAGGGGAAGGGGAGAGAGAAAGAGAGAGAGCGAGAGAGAGCGAGAGAGAGAGGGGAGGACGAAGGAGAGAGAGAGAGAGAGAGAGAGAGCGAGAGAGCGAGAGCGCGCGTAGCGGTGGTGGTGGTGGTGGTGGTGGGTGGGGCTACACCGCCCGGAAGTTGTCGGTAGATTCTGACCATAGTAACGACGAAACAAAGCATGGCGGTTGCGGTTGCCATTATTTGGTTTGCTCTTGGCTGCGTGGAGATGATTTTATTTTTTGCAGAAGTCGTCTCGAACGAAAACCTTACAGGGTACAACGTGAATGCTACAGCTACTCCTGACCGGAATTTCACACATGACGAGTCTGTGGATAGTTCAACGTTTGCTTTGCAAAAGACAACTGACTTTGATTTGTCCACTTTACACACGAGTTACACTATTACCGAAGTTACAAATCAACAACCATTTAATGTTGAGCCCCTGCCCGTCTCCGGTCATCTACCGACCCCAACGATTGACGGTAAGTAAGACCTAATTTGATTTAAATGTACTTGCTCTGTTTTGAAGGCAATTGTAACCCCTTAAACATCTGCAATTGTTGTGGTGTTTTCATTATCGAAGTAAAAAAAGAGGCCCGATGAAGAAAACATAAACTGATGTATTGGATTTAGAACTAATCATATCATTTTGTGACTTTCTTCCAATCTTATGAGCGTTTCATAGTGTATTTGGTGTGCATGAAAGACTGCGGTCAAGCCAGCCTCCACTCGCAAAATTGAAGTCAGGGGAGCCGCCACTGCGATTGTCAGTGCTCTGCATTACGGTAATCTGCCGCCAGCGAGTGGCGTTAGCCACCTTCAAAATAAAAGCGCCTCCACTAATGCATAAACGTCATTTGTTTGGGTGAAAAGAAATTAATAAAAATATAAAATAAGTAAATTCTTGGCTGTCGGGTAATGATTCACAGAGGAAGAACAAGAACTCTCAGAACAGCACTAATAAGCGTTCTCAAGTGGCGATAGAAAATAAAGTCAATGGTAATTCTACATCAATTCCACTTAATTTTAAAATAATCATGAAAACAATCAATCTGGGTGATTGCGCAACGACACCAGGTTGTCGACACACGAGGGCACGCCAGGTATACAACCACAGTACTGGCATTCAGATCGAATGTTCCATTACTGAAAATGCAACATCGGATCCGGACGAGGGTGGTCTGGAACTGAAAAGGATCCAAGATGGCGGACAGTGCGCCAGTGTGTTGGGCGATGCTCCTGCTATTTCGGGGTTTTTTTACTACTCGCAATGCTTGTTTACCTTCCGAACAGCATCTCGATTGGTTTACGATCGCCAGTCGTTGTTATCGATTCAACAACACGTCGGAGATTCGGCCGCGTTTTGGCAAGACGGTGGTGAAAAGACGCTACCTCCGATTTTGGCTAACGTGCCGGCTAATCTCTTCCACATTCGGTCGCGCCCTTCACCGAAGCACCGCTGCCGCCGCGGCAAACGTAGCGGTCAGCTTGTGAAGCTAAAACTGGATCCGAGACTCACTAAGATCGCTGCTCGTTCCCGAACGCACGGAATTACTCCGTCGTGGCGTGCCCTCGACCCCGTCGCCTCGTGCTTGATAACAGTCGTTGGCTCTCCCACGGCGCCACGGCATTTCTACCCTCTGCGCCTTTCTCAGCGAGGAGTCCAGCGCAAGCTTTTGAGGGAATTCCCCCGGGCTCGGCAATCGGAAGAGGCAATCCCTCCCATTGCCACTCCCACAAGGATCGCTTTGTTAAACGCCCGGTCGTTGACGAACAAGACCCATATTCTGAGGGAGTATTTCCTTTCCAATGACTTGGATTTCCTGTGTCTGACGGAGACTTGGGCAGGTACTGGTGAGTACAACGCTTTACTTGAATTGTTGCCATCTGACTATGCATTCCTCGATACCACGAGGACTTCAGGCCGTGGTGGAGGAACGGTGAGTATCTTTAAGAACATCTTCAAATGTAAACGGTGCACATTCACCACATCAACCACCAGCTTTGAAGCAACCTTCTTTGAAGTCGGTCGTGTTTTCCCGGTGCTCTGCACTGTCATTTACCGTCCTCCGAAATACAACAAGACTTTTTAAGCGATTTTTCAACCTTTCTTGCGAAAATCAGGCTGAGATATGATCATATTCTCCTAATGGGGCATTTTAATATCAATGTGTGCTGTCCGGAAAAACCACAAGCAAAGGACTTCTTAAGACTTATCGACTCTCTTAATTTCGTGCAATATGTGACCAGCCCGACACATGAACAAGGACATATTTTAGACCTTGTCCTTGCTTATGGTCTACCGGTGTCAAATCTGGAAGTCCTTGAAAATGGGATTTCTGATCACATGGCAGTTTTATTTGACGTAGTCTTATTGCGTGCTGCTGTAAAATCTGCCGCTCCTAGTTGCAACCGCCGAATTTTTAACCCTCGCATTGCTGGTCGGTTCTCTGATGCCTTTAATAACCTTCGCGTACCCTCGTCTAACACAGAGGAACTCACCTCTTGGTTCAACTCATCATGCCATGCCATCCTGGATTTGGTGGCTCCTTCAAAAACTGTGCTCCCAAAACCTAAACTCGAGCCTTGGTTTAACGACAAAACTCGCGCAGCTAGGCAGGGGTGTCGCAAAGCCGAACGCAAGTGGAAAAAAGACAAATTGCAGGTCTCTTATCAAATTTGGAAAGACTCCTGGCGTACCTACCAGCTCACAGTAAAAGAGGCCAAAAGAGAATATCTGTCGGACCTTATTCAAGCTAACCGTCACAATCCACGCGCACTATTTAAAATGATAGATTCTGTACTCAAACCCCCTCTGCCTACTTGCTCGGATTCTTCACCCGAGATGTGCAACAGATTCCTTCAGTTTTTCACTGATAAGGTCTCTACAGCTAGGACTTCGGTCTCAAATACCGCATCTGACTCCTCTGTCCATATTCCGTGTGCAGCGGTGCTAAATTCTTTTGAAACTGTGTCCTTGAAGCTTTTGGAGGATGTAGTTCGCCAGACGAAGCCATCTGGCTCCCCCTGCGACTCT